AGGAGGAGGAGGAGGAGGAGGAGGAGGAGGAGGAGGGGGAGGAGGGGGAGAAGGAGGAGGAGGAGGAGGAGGAGGAGGAGGAGGAGGAGGAGGAGGCGGAGAAGGAGGAGGCTCCCCATCCAGGGGGGCACCTCGGCCAGTGGGGCCCAGGCCACGCCAGTGGGGATAGGGATCGGCTCAGCGCTGCTCAGGTATCCGGGCGCTCCGCGAGGCGGCCAGCGCCGGGCCCGGCAGCGGGCCCGACGGAGCGTGGGGGCATGCCGCCGCCGTCGCCAGGCTGCGGGCCTTGGGCTGCGCCGACACCCTGCGGAGGCGGGCCGAAGACGCGTACTGCTACGGCGACTTCGAGGCGGCCGTGGCGCGGTACGGCGCGGCCCTGGACGCGACGCCGAGCGACGACAGGCGAGCGGCGGAAGTCAGCGGGAGTGTCCGCGCCGGCACTGGCTTCCAGCGTAAGGTCGCGCGTGAGCGCTCGTTTTTTTGTGTGGCGTGCCGCGCTGGCGGCCCGCGCAAGCCGCGGCGTAAGGTCGCTTCGACATCTCGCGTGAGACCCGTTTGTTTGCGTCGCTCAGGTGGGGCCGGGCGACCCTACTAACGAGCAGGGCAGCGTGCCACCGGCGGGCGCGCGACCTGCGCCTGGCCCTGAAGGACCTGGACGGCGCCCTGGGGCTCTTCCCGCGCTATGCCCGCGCGATGTTCCGTCGCGGTGTCTGCCTGCTCGAGGCTGGGTCGTCGAAGGACGCTGTTCGCGCCTTCCAGCAGTTGCTGCGGGTAGACCGCCACTGGCCAGGCCTCTGCGATTGGCTGGTGCGCGCCCACGCTCATCGGCAGCGCGCCGAGCGCGGGGATGTCAGGAGGGACAAAAAAGACACAGACACAACGAATCGTCGATTCCCAGGAAAAATATGGAACATCTGAGAAGTGGAGGGGAAGACGAAGGTTCAGAAAATATGAGACAAACATTGGAATGCTGAGGTTCGTGTCTATTTGTTTGCGTGTCCCTGGGCCCCTTTTAGGATGGCTCCTTCGGATTCGCCGCCGACGATGACCAGGGGAGCCCCGGCGCGGCCCGCGGTGGTGCAACGGAGGGCGTCGCCGAGGGGGACCTGTATGCTGTCTTGGGCGTGCCTGCGGACGCCACGGACAAGCAGCTGAAGAGGGCGTACCGGCTGATGAGCCTGAAGTACCACCCTGACAAGCAGGGCGGATCCACGCGCTCGTTTCAGCTCATCGCTACTGCATACGAGACGTTGTCGGACCCCGAGAAGCGCCGTGCCTACGACAGCGGGGCGGACATCAAGAAGGGCAAGAACGACGACGGCTCTTCGAGCGAGTCCGAGCGCCAAGAGCGGTCCCTGCACGAGGAGGTGGAGCGGAAGTATTTCCCAGAGCGCTACCGCTTCTGGCCATTCGGAGACCCATTCATAGAGAAGCGAAAGTTGCAGGCACGTAGGCGCCGCCGTGCAGGCGGAAGGCGCATTGACCCTGAGTTTGACGACTTCTAACGCCCTCGCGCGGGCGATGTCTGAGCGCCACTCGAGAAGGCTGGCGCAGCCTGTGTGCTCAGCGTGCCATCCTCAGCAAAAACACCTCTAACATATTATGAGTCTGGCCTGCTTCCGCCGCAGGGGAATGTCATGGGTCATTGTCCGTGGTTCGCTTCTGGCGGCGGACTGGGCTGCCGCCCAGGTGCATGAACGGATTTACGGCGTGTCCTTGTCCGGCCAGCTGCCGATACCCTGAGATCCGACGATGCGAACGAAAATCAGCATCGCAAAAGATTGCGGCTGGAGCCCCGGACCCCATCTTTCTGCGCCATGTTTCAAGGCCGATCGACCTGTGATGGTTCCAGGGCCCGAAAACGGTCGAAAACGCCCAGTGCGGAAAATTACGACGCCAGGATCTCAGGGTATTCTTATCCAGTCGGCTGCTGACTCAACCCCCTCTCCTCCTCATCCTGCCTGTCCCGTTTCCCACTCCCAGTCCGCGGTCAGCCATCGGCCAGCCCTTTCGCCTGCCCTCCACCTCGGCCGCCTGCCCAGCACTCCAGCCAGCCCCCCAAGTGGCAGCGCCCCCGACTCGACCGCCCTCCCAGCCCTCCAGCCAGCCCCCGGACCAGCCCCCCGACTCGACCGCCCTCCTTACCTCCTGGCCCTCTTGGCGGAGCGAGCCCTCGCCGTCGGCCGTCGGCCTATCCCTCCCCCCTAAGCTCTCAGCCAGCCCTCCGGCCCAGCCCTCCCTGTCTCGGATGTACGCCGGCGCTGAAGCGGGCAGCCGCGCACACGCGCGTGGGTCCGAGGTCAGAAGGGCTTGCAGCGGTCGAGCTGCACAGCTAGCGCCAGGGAGAGTGCGCAGTGGAAGAGCAAGCAAGCAACTCCGCTGGCCGAAAGGGCACCGTCCGCGTCGAGTTCGTGAACGGCAGCAGGCTCTCGGGGTCCCTCGAGCTGGGCGCCGCCGCCTCGGCGATCCGGTGGAGCAACGGTGACCAGCCAGCGTTCTCGTCTTTGCCGCGCCGCCGTCGCCGTTGATTTTTTGTGCGTCGTCCTCGTCGTCGTCGTCGTCGTCGGGGGGAAGGAGCAGGAGCAGGCGGACGAGGAGGGACTGAAGACCAGAGGGGGTGAGGTTGGGCGGGGAGGCTGGGCGAAGAGGATGGAGGAGGATTGCTCAAGAGGACGAGGGGGAGAAGGAAGAGGACCAGTGGAAACCCAATACCCATCAACGCTGATGGAATACACCCTGCCTCCAAGCTCCCTCTTCATAGGCCCCTACAAAGGTTCATGTCCACTGGGAATTGTCCCGTTGGGGGACAACGGTATGAAAATCCTGCAGCGCATAAAAAACATCATTTGCAGGACTTCAACTCCACGAGTTAAACTGACTGTTGCCTCTTGGCGAATCTGCATCCTGCCAGAAACCATATCTGGGACTTCAACATCGCGAATCAACGAAACTGTCGCACCCTGACAATCCAGAACCGCTCCAAAACATTCCTGGTACGTTGGCCATCAGAGCCACCGAAACTATTGCAAATGTTTAAACGAATGTGCGCGGCGCTAAGGCTAGAGCCACCTTTTGAAGAGGAATCGCCCTCAATCCGCTAAACTGAGACAATGTTTGAAACGAATTTGCGCGGCGCTAAGGTGAGAGCCATAGATTGCAGACGTCCCGCCCTCAATCCATGGAGCTCTTGCAACTTGTTCAAACGAATGTGCGCGGCGCTGGGACGAGATGTCAATTTTGAAAACCGCCTGCCTTCAGTCCGCGAAGCGAACGCACATATTTGAAACAAAAACGAACATGCGCGGTGCTAGGGCTGCCCTCATGCCTTGAAACCCTTGCAACCTTTAGCGCGAAGATACGCGGCGCTAAGGCTAAAGCCACAGGTTGAAAACCACCCGCCATCAATCTGCGAAGCTGTTGCCATTTTGTAAGCATCAGGCCCATCAATGGTGAGGAAGTCTGAGGCGAAACACCCCGCCTGCCCTTCCGACTGTCCTCGGGGTACGACAGGGAGGAGTTATTCATACGGAAAAGGAATAGATGAAGAGGGTAAGAAAGAAGAAAATGAAGAGAAGGAGGAGAAGGAGAAAAACAACTGTTCGGCTGGAGGAGGGAGCGGAGGGGGGAGGGGAACCGGGAGGGCGATTCAGGAACGAGGCACGAGGATGAGGAAGATAATGGGGAGTCAGGATGATGAATTGGTCCTGGGGGGAGGCCCCGTGGTCCAGGACCCGTTTCTTCCAGGACCCGCTTCCTTCAGGCTAAGCTGGGAGGGGCCCGCGGCGGAAAGCCACCCCTTGGGAAGGGGCCAGGACCTCCCTGGGGCCGCACCTTCGAAAGATGAGATCGGCGGATGCCAGGGGCACGTGGACGAACGTGCCGTCAACGTCGAGGGGGCAGCGTTGGCTCGATGCGCTTCGGTGGGGTGGGATGGGGATGGTGAGGAGGAGGAGGAGGAGCAGGAGGAGGAGGAGGAGGAGGAGGAGGAGGAGGGAGGAGGGAGGAGGAGGAGGAAGAGGAGGAGGAGGAGGAGGGAGGAGAGGAGGGAGGAACTCTTGGGGACCCCCTGCCGACGCCTGCTCCGCGGGTCGCGCGGCGCCCGCTCTGGCCTGCCACGCCCTGGCGCGACGAGTCCTGCACGTCCCAGTCCCCGCGCAGCAGCGTGCGCGCTTTTGTCCGGTTCCCGCTCCTCCCTCCCCTGTCCGGCTGTCTCCCCTCCTCCTCCTCCTCATCATCCTCCCCTCCGCCTCCTCCTCCTCCTCCGCCTCCTCCTCCTCCTCCGCCTCCCTCCGCCTCCTCCCTCCTCCGCTCACGACACGCTGTCTGCTTGCAGGGCACAGCCTATCGCAGGGGCCGCCGCCGCGGCCGCGGCCGACGCGCGCCGAGGCTCGTGGCCGTAAAAGCTGACGGATGCAGCTCCTGGGAGGTCAGATTCTGCATTTGCCCTGGTCCGAAGTCCGGCTGAATCCGGCTGTCTCCCGCTTCATCCAGCTTAGAGCTAGACTCTGGCAAGTTTACTTGCATGGACGGGGGGGGGGGGGGCTGAGCCTGAAGCAAGCCCGGGGGGGGGCGCGGAAATCACGCAAGTCGAAAGGCACTTGCACGCTAGTATTCGCTTGAAGAGGGGCGAGGGGGGGGGGGCGGGGCGAACGCCATGCAAGTAAACTTGCCTGAATCCACAAAAAAAACAGGCTCTTAGTCCTGTTTGATTTGGCTTCATCCTGCTTGATGTGCGGCTCAATCCGGCGTAGCACCCCCCCAGTGGGGCTCGATCCACTTTCATCCTTCCGACGAAGACCTCCCAGTAGTTGCCTCCTGACCCTCTTCCGGAGGACTTGTGTACGAGCTCCTTCCAGCAAGCTGAATGCGTATGGCGCGCTCCAGGAGGGGCCCCGCCTCCGAGGCATCGGGAGGTTGGCATCTCTTCTTCGGCACAAGCCGCGGGCAGCAAAATCAGGGGCCGCTCCACCAGAGGAAGCGGGGCGGAAGGCCGGCGGGAGCCAGCAGAAGAAGCACTCGAAAACGAACGCATTACATAGATTTAGATTTTCGGCCGTCCGCGCGGATTTCTTGGATCGGCGCTGGGCCCCCCTGGCGGCGCCTCCGGCGCCGCTCCTGGCGCGCTCCGCGCGCCAGGGAGGGCGGTCCAGAGTGGATGTAAGAAATCCGCGGAGACCTCCAGAAGTTTCCTGTTTATGTTGTGTTGTCTTCCTCTAAGCAAACATATCACCCAAGAGGTGTTTATTCTGAGATTCGGGATTTTCGAATCACGCCACTTGATGCTGGATGGACAGTTGCTGGAAGCTGGCCTGTAGGAGAGCGGGATACACATGTGGCCACACGTTGTTCTTGCGTTTGGCCCTCGCATGGCCAGGCACGGTGTGATCCTCCACATTTGTATGGTCTCCGCATGTGTAGGCAACCTTATGTTTCCAGCTTCATTTCATGGTGGCCAAGCAGTTGGAGGGTTGAAACTCGACGATCGAAGTTCGAGATTGAAAGATCGAGGCTCGAGAGTCGAGGATCTTGGTGCATTTCCTGCTCTTCTTCTGGGCCTCTGGAGACTTCCGCGGACCTTTCGAGGTCTGGAGTCTGGAGGCCTCCCCATGTATCATTCCTCCCCGCCTTCCTTGTTCTCTTTCTGTCGAGAGGACATGTGGAGGTACGGTGTGGACTCTGCTGCAGGCGCTGCCAGTCACGAGGTCCCTCTTCGAAGTCCACCGAAGACGTTTGCGGACACATGAGAATCTCTCGATAGCCCCTCAGGGCTCATTTCGACCCGATCGATCTGGTTCAATACGAATTTCGGCCTGCTCAATTCGAGTTCGATATTCCGACGACCTGGTGCGGCCAGATGTTGGCATGGCGCTCTTGTGCATCCTGGCGCGGCCGATTCGATTGGAGTTCGACTCCGTGACGATGCAGCCTGACTCCGATTTCCCGATACGATGCCGACCGATTCTGCTTCTCTTCGGTCCAACGATCCCGTCGCGATTGTTGTTCAGAACGTGTTTTCCCAGAGGAGGAGGAGGAAGAGGAGGATGAGGAGGAAGAGGACCAGTGTACACCCAAGACGCACCAACGATGTTGGAATAACCCCTCCCTCTAAGTTCCCCTGTCATAGGTCCCTACAAGGATGTAACTTCAATGCAGGAAGTGCGCCGTTGGAAGGCAACCGTCTGAAAACCATCAACCGTGCCACATCACCATTCCTAGGATGTCAACACCGCGAATAAACGTTATTGTTGCGTTCCGACGATCCTGAATCGTGCCAGAACAACATTCCTGGGATTTCGACACCGCGAATCAACGTCACTGTCTGCGTCCTTACTAACCTGAATCGTGCTAGACAGCAGTTTCTAGGACGGCAACGATAAGATCCCGTGGAAACGGCATGAGCTTTTTGGGCGGATGTGCGCGGCGCTAATACGAGAGCCACATTTTGAAAACGACCCGCCCTCCATCGGCGAAACAGCTGCGAAGTTTTAGCACGAATGTCGGCGCTGTGGCGAGAGCCACGTTTTGAGCACGGCCCGCCCTCCATCCGTGAAGCTCTTGCGAACTTTTGAGACGAAGGCGCGCGG